CGTATAAGCCGCACCGGTCTATAAGCCGCATGGTTCAAAGTTCAGGAAAAAAGTCGCGGCTTATAGTCCGAAAAATACGGCATAAAGAATTCATTATTTTTTTTATAAAATAAATAAACTTAGATCTAAATTAGCCAACTGAAAAAAACTTGTAGATGAATATAAATAAAATAATTTACCTTCTTTTTCCTCCTTGTCAGCAGATTCATCATCTTCAGGAGTTTCCTCTTCAGGCTCAGTTTTGTTTTCTCTCTCTTCAGTTTCTGGTTTCTTCTCACCCTCTCTGCAGTTTTCTTCATCTTCTACCTTTTCTGGTTTTTGATCGTCCGCAGCCTCAGAGCTTTCAGTTTTCTCCTCCTGAGCTTCGTCCCTCTGCTTCTCTTCGGTCTTCTCTGCCATGGCGTCATAGACCTGAACCCTCAGCTCGTCTCTGGTCTTCTCTGCAGGAAAAAAAGAAAAAGAAAAATAGTTATGAGATTTCCAAAGACTGATGGAAACTGTTGGTAAAATATGACATTTCTCACCATCGATGCTTTTTGTGCTCTCAACGTTAGAATCTTTGGGTTTCTCTTCATCCTCATCTTCCTCAGGGACTCCTTCCAAGGCGTTTCCAAGAACCGAGTTCTCCATCCTAAAAACGACAGTTGGTAACATAAGACCCAGACTTCTGGTTTTAATTTCCAGCTCGATGAGAAGGTCCTGACCGTACCGAGCCAGATCCAGCAGCGCTTTGCCGCACCAGAAGAAAGCCTCTCCACACTCGTCCGCCGTGTCGCCGTACTTCTTAGCTCTGAAAAGAAAGTCGGGCCATCAGAACATCAGAGTTAAAGCAGCAGTTTGCAGATTTTAATGGCAGCAGAAACATGCTTTGAATGATGCAAGATGGAAAATTACTGCAAAGGTTGCTCAAATCTGCTTTGTGAGAAAATCTAATTTTAGATCAAAGAACTAGTCATGGGCCCTTCAGCTTAAAGCTGCTCTTCAAGGGGTTTTATCAGCAGAGCTTCCTGAAATCAAAACAACTGTGTGCAGGGTTTCATGTTCCATACAGCATGAGATTTATTAGCCTTTTCCCATGGGCTCGACTCAGGTCGACACAACACAAAATCCCAATATATGATTATCAGGCAGCCCACAAGTTATGGGATGAATCTTGTGCCAGCAGGAGTTGAATTTGAATTGCTAAGATTGAATCTGAATGTGCATAATTTGAAATTGAATGCATTGGTTTGAAAATAAACTTAAAGTTTTGTATCTGAATTAATTTGCTTTGAAACTGTGTTTTGGTTTATTAAAAATTCAGTTTGACTACTTTCACTTTCAGTTCCAAACTTCAGATTTTGTGTCACATCCTGGTCCTTGAGAAAGCCAGGCAGAGTAATCAAACACAGATCCACAGYTTTATGTTTCACTTTGGTGAAGCTTCCCTTCTGTATGTAACAGAGTTGATACAATCCACTGTAAAAGTGACAAAAACAGACAGTTATTGTATTGCAGTGATTAATTTTACCTATTTGTAGAAAATGTTACATCCTGTCATGTATCACATATTGATCAGATGCTGCTGCTGCTGACTGATCCATGATTGCATCAACTCTGCTACATTGTTCTTGGACTTGATGATTTTCATGTGAGAGAAAGCAGACTCACACAGGTACAGTGGGGAGAACAAGTATTTGATACACTGTTGATTTTTCAGGTTTTCCCACTTGCAAAGCTTGTAGATGACT